ACGAGGATGACGTAGGACCAGCACCCTGGGATGATTCGACTGACGAAGATGAGGATGCAAGCGGTGATAATGCGGAGGCAGATGTCGATGCCAGAGACCAACCACAGACAACTAACACAGTCTTTGATCCAGACGGGGAATTGTTGGACTCTATGGAGCTCCAGCCTGAAGACTCGGACAAGCAAGGAGAAGTCGACCGTGCAAGAATGGGTGTGAGAGTTCCGACCAACGTCGTTGCCGGAAGATGATTGATTGTTTTGGTGTATAATGATCTTTGACGATTTACATTTCCTTCGCTATCCTTTGTCTTGCATATCAGTTTCCAGGACTTCTGCGGATTCTATTAAAACACCATTATGATTCTGTTGTTATGACACTCGAACATGAAAAGAATCGACTTTACTATAGTCTACAAGATGTCTCATTGAGTAAGGATTACACGTGGGGTCCCGCACTCTTATTATCACTCCCTGCGAAACTGACTGTTGCCTTGTGTAAATCCGTCTCTGAATCGAAATCTCCATCTTGACCTCTGTCTGTTACTGTCATCTCATGCGCGTCGACATGAACAACAAGCTGCCCTGCAGGTCGTCCACTATTGCTTCTAAAGGTAAAAGTGCCTCCGTGATTCGTGGGTTTGCTTTGGATTTGAGCAGAAGAGTCATATGCCCATCCTTCCCGAGAATTCAGAGAGGACATTAACATGATGGAGTAAAGTTTTCCGAGGGGAATATTGAAGATGAGATGCCTGGCAGAGAAATTGTTATGTACTGGAACCTAAAATGAACCCATGAGGGCACTCACAATCCTCTGTCGGGGAAAGCCAAGAATAGGACTAAATCAATAACAGCAAAGACGGATGTAACCAATCCAGTTTGCACGGTGGCTACGATAAAGAGTATATCAGCACAGTACCATAGCACTAGGTGCGACCCACATCGAATAATCCTGTCAACCAGTTCGTCTGATCCTTTAAACCCACTCTTGTGTCTACTCTATACAATATCTATCAGTTAATCGTCAAGCACGTTAACAGGGCGATTTCATACCCTGTGGAAGACGAGTCTGGTAAGTGTGCGAATAACTTAAGATTCGAGCACTCACAGATATCCAACCAGCACGAATGTAATCACAATATCAGCTAAAGTTTCACCAATAAGCCACACAATGACCCAAGCCTAATATATCCGCTACAAGTCAGCTCGAATGTTGGTTGATAGAACACGGAGACGCGCACTTTGAATTTGATAAAGTCAACATAATGAGGATAGGTCTTAATCATGACCGAGGAAACTATAGATCCAACAAATCCAGCGACGGTAGGAATTATGGTTGCAAAAGCTGTATATATACTTCCGGTGAGGACTTTGACTCTCCAGACAAAGAAGAGCTGAACGTAGGCAGCGATGATGCCCTAAACAAACTTTATGAGAAGGAGTCAAAAAGATTCCAAAGACTCACAGTCATAACTGGATCTACAATTGTGGATGACACACGATACACATATTTAGCGATTTCTGAAGCGAGCCGTAGTAAGTGCTTACCCGTTGCAAAAACTAACAATCCCTGTTAGGAAACGTAGTGGAAAAAGAACGAATATCACTCACGCCAATTCGCCTTGGCAAGGTATTCAACATCGGTGAAGTTGATGATAAGAGTGGTGTACAGGTATATAGATAGAAAGAGCGTGTTCAAGAAATTGGTGATTAAAAGTATCGAAACCTGATCCGGTATGTTACACTTCAGTGGACGAGGAAACAGGCAGCTGTCATGACGCACAAAAATTTTCATCCATATCCGGTCACTGCGCTTTTGATTTTAGTGAATGTTTAGAACGCAGATGTGGTATTACAGCTCACTTTTTGTACAGCTTCATATAGATATAAGACTGGACCATAATCATACCAAGCAAGAAGAGATTTAACATCCACCCTATGAAAATGGGTCCAGCACTGTAGAGATAAACAGTGAGTGGACGTAACCTATAAACTTGAAAAGACCACGACATACGCATCTTCGGCAGGTGAAGTCATGAATTATTATTTCCGGTCCCTACGCGTGTAGGGTGATGCAAACTAGAAGAACAGGGCTCGAGGAGCTCAAGGGAAGAAGAGAGATAGAAAAGGAATCAAATTGTGTGCTCGTCTAAATAAACCAGCTTCCTCTTCCATTTGCTACATTTTACCAAAATTTTACCCGGTTGGTAAAACCTTTTCCCCTAATTTGATGAACGACTGTTGGTCTGTCCGGAAGGTACGGACGAGTCACGTTTCTTGGCAACGGGCCTCGATTGAACAGTTAGTAAAGACCTGAACTTCAGAACAACACAACCTTAACTCATATATGAAGCTGGCTGAGAAAGTGCCAGAGAAGCTAGCAACGCAAATAAATCAGCAAATGAAATGAGCTGTAGTAGGCTGTAGTGACCTGTCGGGTCTCAAAGATGAACCGTGAGCTAGAAGAATAACCCACACTCCGCAGGGGACAGCACAGGACAATATACCGTCCATACCGTGTCGAGAACTCTCGATCGAGTTGGTGGGGAAGTCAAGTCACGGCAGGTTCGGCGTGTAACGGCGACTGATGAGCAATCGAAATAACACTGAAAAAACTTGAAACTCACTACGTCTATAGCGGTGTCTCCAGGACTGCTGTATGGAACTTTGTGTCAGGCTTACCTACACAGTGCACTAGATTGTAGATTCGACAAATGGGACTATTCAGAGTGTATTAATCGAACTGGCCTGTAGGACAAGTAGACATATAAATTACAGCGCGTTCTTGTCCAAGTTCTATACTTGGGTGTTCGTCTGTTTATTCAAGTTATCCGCAAAAACCGCCCCCTTTTGGTCCAAGATCTCCGAGTCCGCTTCTGTGTCCCTGTCCCTTTCGTGTTCCCCGAAACCTTCCGCCCTGTCCATCTCATGCTCGACATGCACTACCACTTGAGTTGATCGTCCGTTAAAGCTAAACCCATTTCCGGTCGATCGCGTTTGGGCTTCACCGGAAGAGCCGAGTGTCCATCCTTCACGAGAGTTAAGACTACTCATCAGCATCATAGAATAAAGTTTGCAGAGTGGGATATTGAAGATCAGGTGTCTGCGCAGAGAGAATATGGTGAGCTCCCAGAATTCTAAAGCTATAATAAAGACGTACAAAGCTCGGGCAGGCTGAATATTGATATCTTCACATCAGAAGACAGTACGCAGTACATAAAGGGAATACGTACGTAGATTAGGTAAAGAATCAAGTCGATAATGGCAAATATTGAGGTTATCAATCCAGTTTGAACGGTAGCTTCAGTAGAAGTTGAGTACGGTCATAGACAAGATAAAGATAGGAATATTCACATCGAATGATGCGATCAACGAGCTCGTTGGATCCCTTGAATCCTCGCTTGTGTTTGTTCTGGTGAATGATTGATATATGAATCAGATCATCGGAATCGGAGAGGAAAGTCATACCCTATACGATAGGTGACACAAATCAGTGTTAGCCAAAGGGAAGCAGTGAGACGTACAGATATGTAACCAGAACAAAGGTTATCATAAGGTCTGCAGCTGTCTCTCCAATCAGCCATACGATAACCCATGCCTACAATACGGTATGTAAGATACTCATTTACGTAGTAAAATCTTGGTACATACCTTGAACTCGATAAACTCTACGAAACGAGGATATTTCCTAATCATTATAGATGAAAAAAGGGAACCGACAAATCCAGCTACAGTGGGAACCAGAGTAGCTGCTGCAGCTAGCACGCTACCGGTCAGGACTTTGATCCTCCAAACGAAGAACAATTGAACATATCCCGCGATCAGACCCTAGGTATGGGCTAAAATGTGTCAATGTTCAAAAAAAGAAGCACGCAACATACAGTCATTATAGGGTCTTCAAAATCACGGTAGTTAGTAATTAGGGACATGAATAAGGGCTAAGAGATCTTTTGCTACGTACCAGTAGCAAAGACTGCATATTGAAATAGATGAGCGGGGAACAATGGAGAGAGAAAGAAGAGTTATTCGACGTACGCCAATTAGCAGTCAACAGATGATCGACATCGGAAAATTTGAGAATAAGAGTGTTGTATAAGTATACAGCCATAAATATAGTATTGAAAACATTGGCTAGCATCAAAATAGCGACCTAAAGTTTCGTTAGAAGTTGCGGGGCGTGAAAAACAGCATGCAACGGACAAACGTCTTCATCCAAAAATGGTCTCTACGAACGAAATTAGTATATCATCAATACGAGAAGTGTAGGCGTACTTTTGGTAGGTTTTCATGTATATGTATCCTTGTACGATAATCATACCAAGGAAAAACAAATTGAACATCCACCCTATGAAAATAGGTCCTACGCTGTTGCTCCATTCAGAAGAAATGAAAGAGAAATACAAATGAAAGACATGCGCATCCTCTGCAGGCGTATTAGCCATTATTATCGTAGAAGAGGTCAAACAATATAGAGGGACTTACTTTTTACCCAGAATTATCCAATTATATATCATTGACAATGCGTCGGGGAGGTAAAAAGCGGTATGTCACTCGAAAAGGCTCCGTACTTGGCGTATAGGGGAAAGGCAAGGATTTGGTGTACGGGCCGTGTACCTGACCTGATCCTCGACAATCCCCTCCTTTCCTGTGCACTCCTTTTAGTCGTCAAGCCGACCCAAAGAGAAAAGGAGCGCAATAGGGTGCATCTGCAACGGACGACTCCACCTGCTTTAGAAGGTAAAATCCAATTCATTCGATTCTTTTTTTTTCGCCCAAAAGTCTTGCAGCAGATGCACGCTAATCTAGGCAAAGAGGAATAAAATAAAATGAGTCAAAAAATTTCCCAGTTAGCTAGGAGAAGACCCCTAAATAGTTTGGATTAAAAGTTCGGATAAAAGTGAATCTGGGTCTGTTCGAAGTTCAGACAAGATGAAGATCTGAGTGACCATTTGGACAGCCTCGGCAGCCGGATACGTCGGGGTATTTTCCTCGATTGAAGTGGCCGGCCGCGTAGCGTAATGGTTAACGCGCTAGTTTCCGGAGCTAGAGATTGTGAGTTCGAGTCTCACCGTGGTCGAAATCTTCATTTGGGCTTGTAGCTTTTTTTAAATTTTATTCCATATCAGTACGGCAACCAATGGTTATCAACTTTTTATATTCGGATAAACATGTAAACTGCAACGCAGACCCAGCTTAGTTCTATCCTGCAATTTGTCGGTAGTATCGGCGCATCTTTTGGGATCTGCTCCACCTTTGCATGAGTGAGTTTGACCCTCGGAGGTATCGGTTAATTGACACCGATCTGAGGAAGGACTTGTCTATAGTGTCACCAAGAGCTATTCTCGCAGTAAATTTTCGTCACAGGCCACGAAGCATTTTCCGATGATGATCCGGATTGGGAATGGAGTATTGAACCCATTTGAACGAATGCGATATTCGGTCAGTCGCCCCACACAAATGCTTCTTTTGTCAATTATTTCTGGCTTGTCATAGCAATGAAAATGATTCGGAGAAACTGCAGAATAATTTTGTACACACGCATGCGAGGTCAGAGAGTATAAAAGTTTACAAGATAGAGGACGCTCTGCATTGAACGCAATGGATACCTCATTCCACTCAAAATTCGCCCTCCTCTTCACATTCTGCCTCACCATCGTCTCCGTCGGAGCGAAGATCATCTATGCCGGTGTAAATGAGGTAGGCTGCTACTTCCATGGATGCCGCTAGTTATTGATTTTTAATCCTTTTACCTAGTCTGGAGGCGAGTTCGGCTCTGGTAACCTACCTGGGCAGTTTGGTGTAGACTATGAGTTCATCAACCAGGTATGGTTGGATTTCTTGCTTACCGTAGGCACATGTCACTTAATTTGAACTCAGGCCACGGTGGACACGTTTGTGGACGAGGAACAAATCAACTTGTTCCGTGTTACCTTCCTTATGGAGCGCATGTGTCCTCTGGAGACTGGACTCGGGAGTACCTTCAATGAAACCGTGAGACATTGATCGTTCGACTAGAATCCCCACCTGACACTGACCCCGTGTATTTGTCTCACTAAGTATTTCAGCGAATTTGAGGACGCCGTGAACTACATCACCGTCACCAAGGGAGCCTATGCCATTCTTGACCCACACAATTACATGCGATACAAGTGAGTGGGAAGTAATGTCTTGAATAACATGCTCGACGAAGTCGTATTGAATGCACTTTCAGTGACCCTTCGGCCCAGCCTAACTCCGGAAGCGTAAGCTGCCTGGAATGAACGAATCTCTATCAAAACTTAAAATGTACCTCTTAGGTAATTGGAGACACTTCAGACCCTAATGCTGCCACCACGGAAGATTTCGGTGCATTTTGGACCGAGCTCGCAAACCGATTCGTCGACAACGAGAAAGTCATCTTTGGAATCAACAACGAACCCCATGATATGGATACCCAACTCATCGTCGACAACAACCAAGCTGCAATCGACGGCATTCGCTCTACAGGCGCCCAGCAATTGATTATTGCTCCCGGTAACGGCTTCACTGGAGGACATTCTTGGACCCAGACTACGGGTGCCAATGGCGATGCACCTTCGAGCGACTTTATGGCTCAGATTTCCGACCCTTTGAACAACACAGCTATTGATATTCACGAATACCTTGGTGAGTACCTTTGACTACTAGCATTCGTATGTAATAATAACGATGATGTACAGACCAGGACTTCTCCGGCAGTCACGACACATGCACTCAACCAGGGCCTGCCAACTTGGATGCTTTAACTTCTTGGCTCCAAGAGAACGGCTTTAAGTATGTTTGATGCCAAAAATAATCTGATTTTCTCTGACATGTGCTTCAAGGGCCATGATCACTGAATTCGGCGGAGGGAGCAACCAGGATTGCTTTGACGTGCGTGTACTCAACGAACACTCAAATAGAAATTTACTAAAATTAAATTCGACAGATGATTAACGAGATGCTTCAATACCTCGCGGACAATGACGTCTACATCGGTTGGGCTGCTTGGGCTGCAGGACCATGTAAGCTCGAAACATTCCTTTGTAATTTCATTGATCCGAAACTATTACACAGTCTGGGGAACTTTCTCTTCTTGCTGCGGTGAGGAGACAGGAAGCCTCGAGCCCGGGAACACCAACGAGTCTGGAGGACCCAAGTAAGATTAAATTATACTCGTAAAACTGGTGCTTACTATACGCGACTTTTCACTCAGCGCTTTCGAAACTGTCTGGCCCAACGCTATCAAGCCTAACATTCCTGTTGATGGTAAGTCATTCTAATCGTATCATCGTTCGACTTTCGCTTAATACGGTGCATTTAGACTTGAAGCGTGATGGAGTTTCTAGCCTTTCTTAAAGAGAGAATGTGAAACAAGTATCCGAATGGTAAAATAGGACTGAGGGTGTAATGTCATATCGAAGGATCTGTACAAGTTGATAAAAGAAGCAATCACAGCTTTAAGTGTTAGTATTGAAGGTCCAGACAATTATGCCGAAGACTTATAATATAGTCGCGAATCAATCCCGGCGTGAGCTGGTTTTTTAATTATAAGTTTGTCCAATGTGGGTAACCTATCGTGAATTTACCCGATTTGCAGGCTTGTCAAGCAGCCAGGCAACGATATTTCTGTAATTTTGAATAGATTTATAATAAAAAAATGGCGAAAAGTGGAGCGGGCTGGACCCATTGCCGCTTGACCCTTGACTGGCTTGTTCAAGCCGAAACGAGCCGGGCAAGATCGGGTCCAAACCTTGAAGAATCACGATGCAGTTATTCATAAGTTTTCCAATATAAATTGGATGCTAACTGAGTTTCTAATGAAGAAAGAGAAGAATACTGTAGTTCCCCCTAATAGGTATACGTATCATACAAGTCTAGAACTTGAATGTATTGAAAAAGAGAGATTCAGAAGAACCAAACCTCTGAGCTACGCTACGAGTCACTAGGTCTTAACAGAAATTCAAACAGATTTGACTCAGAACTGCGGGCTGTAAACTGCAATTCTCGTGCTCTAGTGTATCGAATACAGGTCATATTTTCACCGTTTTGAAAACTGCGCCGCAGCAAATCCTTAGTAGACGCGCAAGCACGGCAGGTAAGTATGTTAAATAATAAGTTAAAAACTTAACTACCGGCTGAGCTGCTGCCGGAATAAGTATGAGTCCGTAGTCCATATAAAATATTAAAGAAAAATAATTGTTAGTAAATAGTAAATAGAGATGGTAAGCAGGAAAACATATGAATTATGGTATGGTAGTGTACCCAAGGGTTGTTGATACGGTCAGTGTCCAGACTACATACACAGATATACTGGTATCGAGACTGAAAGCGCGGGAATGTATGTACCCCTATTGATCCGTTCTGCGTAAGCCAGATTCACAAATGCGTATCTTTATTTACGACTGCGATCGTTCTTTGATATTTACTGAATTCAATCGTGCCTAGACATAGACAGATCCTTATCCTCAAGTTGTAACTTTATAAGTAACCAGCAGTTCATCTCGTTGATAACTCATTCCCATTCCGCTTTTCTCGCTAGCTATGCCTCCGCTTCACGTCGCCCAGACCTTCAACGCTTCTTACTCCTCCAAAATCTCCTATACCCCTGTGGCCGTATTCATCGGGGGTACAGCTGGCATAGGAGAAGCTACTATCCGTGCCCTAGCACAATACCTCCATGGTCAAGTCCACGTCATTCTCCTAGCCCGGACACAGAAATCCGGTGAACGGGTCCTTTCTTCGTTGGAGAAACCAAATGATGTTTCTGTGGAAGTCTTGAGAGAATTCATTCAGTGCGACGCGTCTCTCATGTCTTCCGTCCATACTGCTTGTACGGAGATTACAAAGTTGCTGGAGACGAAGTTGCCCAAGCTCGGAATGCAGACAGCTAAAATTAATTACTTGGTCTTTTCTGCAGCTCACTTCAATATTGCGAAGAGTTTTTGGACTGAAGAAGGTATCGATAGGCAGTTGGCAGTGAGGTATTACCATCGATTCAAGGCGACGTATGAATTACTTCCTTTGTTGAGGAATGCAAAAGATTTGGGCGAGTTCTAGACCTTGTTTTCAAGCAATTTTTTTGTAACGTTTAACAGGTGAAGACGCAAAAGTGCTCAGTATTCTCCTCTCGGGGTTTACTTGGCCTTTTGACGAGAATGATTTCGGATACAAGAAAGGAGGCCTGGGATCAATCTTCAAAGCATTAAACACGAACATGGCCACTGCTATCTACAATGATCTGATGGTAGAGGTAAGCTTTCTTAACTAAAGCTGACTTGATAAACGGTATTTACATGAGGCTAGGCCTTCGCCAATCGAAACCCTGGGATCTCTTTTACGCATGCAATGCCAGGCACGGTAGCAACTCAGAATTCCCTGGATACTTTCATGACGCCATTCACTTTCCACTGGATTCTCAAGCCATTAGAGATTCTCTTTCGTTTCATCTTTCACATGGTCTACATCCTCCCTGCACATAGTGCCGAGTATCATTTGTACGGGCTATTAAATGCTGACGAGAATCGTAATGGGGAGACTGGGAAGAAGAACTTTTATAGGAGAACTCGGCAGGGTGATGAGTTTGCATATCGGTATTATAGGAAGGATCAGGAAAGGTTGAAAAGACAACTTTGGGAACATACAATCAAGGAGACCAAGTGTGTAGAGTAGGAGCGAATCTATTGAAACTTATCTTCACATAGTAAATAATACATTTTTAATATGGCGCGTTCAGACTTGACACACCAGTAATCAAGGCTGCCGTGAAAATTGCGCTGAAGCGTAGCTGGGTTATTGTAACAGGAATCCCCCGCGCAATGTTTAGGACACCTGGTATCCTTGGAATATTACTTTAGCTGCAAATCGATGCGTGAGAATATATTTACCCCTATTCCAACGTTGATTCGGCCTTGGGTTCGAAATTTCACTGCGTAATCCAGTTCACAAACTTCCATGGATTTGAATGGGATTATAAAGCTTTAGCCAGAGACCTTTATAATCTTAGTCGTATACGCGTCCACTCGGCAACTGTACTACATGATCCTGATGGTGCCTCAACATTGATAGATCTTTATCCTGAGGTTATAACTCAGTCCGCTCAGAGTCAAATTCCAGACATCTCTCAAGCCCCTGCGAGCAAGTCCGAATCTATATTTCGTATTAATAGTCCTTATTCATCCTACTGGAGCATTTCGTTTCAGTATGCCTCCGCTTCACGTCGCCCAAACTTTTAACGCCTCTTACTCCTCCAAGATCTCCTATACCCCTGTAGCCGTATTCATCGGGGGTACAGCCGGCATAGGAGAAGCTACTATCCGTGCCCTCGCTCGATACCTCCATGGTCGAGTCCACGTCATTCTCCTAGCCCGGACACAGAAATCCGGTGAACGGGTCCTCTTTTCGTTGGAGAAACCAAATGATGTTTCTGTGGAAGTCATGAGAGAATTCATTTATTGCGATGCATCTCTCATGTCTTCGGTTCATGCTGCTTGTATGGAGATTACAAGGTTGCTAGAGACGAGGTTGCCCAAGCTTGGAATACAGACAGCCAAGATTAATTATCTAGTTTTTTCTGCCGCTTATTCAAATCTGAAGAGTTCTTGGACCGAAGAGGGTATTGATAAGCAGTTGGCAGTGAGGTATTACCATCGATTCAAGGCAACGTATGAATTGCTTCCTTTGTTGAGGAATGCAAAAGACTTGGGTGAGTTGTAGACCCGTTTTCAAGCAATTTGGTTGTAACGGCGTGTTGAACAGGTGAAGACGCAAGGGTACTCAGCATTCTCGCCTCGGGGTTTACTTGGCCGTTCGATGAGAATGATTTCGGATACAAGAAGAGAAGAGGCTTAGGATTAATCCTAAAGGGAGCAAACACGAATATGACCGCTGGTGTCTACAATGATCTGATGGTAGAGGTAAGCTTTCATAACTGAAGCTGACTTGACAAGTGGTATTGACATGTAAGTCCAGTCATTCGCCGAACGGTACCCTGGGATCTCTTTTACGCACGCAATGCCAGGCATGGTATCAACTGAAAACGCGCTACAACATCTTACAAGCCTATTCACTTTCCATTGGATTCTAAAGCCTCTCGAAACTCTTCTTCAATTTATCTTCTACATGCTTTTTATCCTCCCTGAACACAGTGCTGAGTATCATTTGTACGGGCTGTTAAGTGCTGATGAGAATCGTAATGGGGAGATTGGGAAGAAGAGTTTTTATAGAAGAAGTCGGTGGGGTAATGAGTTTGCATATCGGTACCATAGGAAGGATCAGGAAAGGTTGAAAAAGCAGCTTTGGGAACATACAATCAAGGAAACCAAGTGTGTAGAGTAGGAGGAAATCTATTGATCTTGCATAATGCATCTAAAAAACAGAACAGCATTGGATCTCGATAGCCCACCGCGAGGGTCGAACTCGCAGCCTTCAGATCCCGCCATAAGAGTCTGACGCTCTATCCGATTGAGCTAGGCGGGCCTTGTAGACTCGTCGCGAATGTCGAATAGAAATTTTCGGGACAACCTCAGCTCGCAATATACAGTAAAATATGTTACATTGGAAAATCCAGTTTATGCAAGTAGAACTATTGTATTATGTTATGCGGTCTACAAAAAGCGAGTCAGGATGTTAATTAAGAAAGGAAATAGTCGTCAACTCACTTGGTTGGTCAACAGCCATCTTCCCTCCCAATTCACCTTCCTTCAGGCTTTCTTCCACCTTTAGATGCACCTTCGGGTCCTTCTCCGGGTTTACTTGTCTCCGGCCCTTTCTCATCCCCATACGACCCTCGACCACCGTACCTCTCTCCCTTTCCAGGCTCTTTATAAGGCTCCCCGTTTGGCTTCTCAACGTGCCTATACTCTTCCGTCTCCACTCCAGCCCGACTCCACTGCCCCGACACTGGCCCGCTGGCTGATTGAACTTTGTCCGACGTAGGGTCTACTTTATGGATTTGTTTGCTGGAGGCAAGATCAGAAGAAGGGTCGGAGACACCAATATCTTCTTTGGCGTATGTATCTGCGCTATGGCTTTGTGCTGGTTGAACCTTGTTCGACTTGGGGTCAAGTTTAAAAGGTTCTTTGCGGGAGGTAATATCAGCCGAGGCGTTAATGTCTTCTTTGGAGTACGACTCGTGCTTTGTTTGGACACGGAGGATGGACGACGTGTGGATTACACGAGAGCGAGAGATGGCTTGGAGGGTTCTGCGAGGAATCATTCTGAGTTGTGTAGAGTGCAGACGTGGACGGTTGGTTTTTATAGCGAAGAATCGTAGCGATTTTGAGTTGGTTCACTGACGTCATGGATTACCAGTTTTGCATCATATGTCTTGGAATAAATCGAAGTCGCTTTTTCCTTTCCGAGTACGTACTTTAGACTCCGATGTCAATGCCCGCCTAGCTCAATCGGATAGAGCGTCAGACTCTTATGGCGGGATCTGAAGGCTGCGAGTTCGACCCTCGCGGTGGGCTAGAAATACCCCTGTTACTTGGCAAATTTTTTGCAATTTATCTAGAGTACATACATACACTCAATCAAAAATGAATGGTATTGTAAACGAAAGCCTGAAAATAAACGAACGAATAGGGATCCGGTCATGGGTATACAAATGTAAGGAATTCGGCCCTAAAACACTAAGTAAAAGCTAGATATACATACACACGTATCAAGGTACCAAATACTGATCCTAGAAACCTTCTAAGCTATCTAATATGTGCTTGAGTCGGGGTCTTTGGTTCTTCGACCTCTACCACAGGATCAGCAAACGGATTCTTGACAGTCGCAACACTAGACCGGTTGCTCTTCACACTTCCTCCACGTCCAAGTTCAGGAGGATCGGCGAACGGGTCCTCCGCAACCGAAGCGAGCGTAGAAAACGATGAAGTTGATTTAGCGCGCATCAATCTAGCATCTCTCTCGCTTCCCGTTGAAATAACGGAAGGCGCTATACTAGATGGCGGACGCTCAGTTGATAGCCTTCGAAGCGTCTCTGAAGACGCTCCAGAGATGTCTCCAGCTTGTCTAAACGTCGCAGTACGTTTGATCGTATCCGTCGAAGCGAATAGATCCGAAAAACGACCACTATGGAGTTTCTCCGAGTTTGTTAGTTGCGATTGTCGTGAAATTGGATCCGTAGAAAGGGAAGTCAGGTTTGAACGAGCAAAGGGACGAGTGGAATCAGCTTCGATGTCTTTCTCACTGAAAGATCTGGGTGAGAAAGTGTCGAAATTGAGATGGCGAGCTTGATTTCGACGGCGGCGGCGGAAAAAACAGAGGAGGACTAGTGCCATGATCAAGAGTATGATTCCGCCAATGCCATGATCAAGAGTATGATTCCGCCAATTACACCACCAATAATCGCCCCTATTGGCTTCGGATGGCTACTAAGGCCACTGGGATAAATTATTTGAATTTAAACAGTAAGTGGAGTCGATAATTGTTGACTTACGCATTAGCTGTGTTTGATGGTCGTATATGAGTGGTGAAGGTGGTAGGAAACATAGAAAAACTAGTCGATTCCACTACTGTAGCATATGTCCCATCACTGCCAGTAATCATTGATGTTGATATGAAAGTAGCAACAGGAGTCGATGTGAGTGTTGTGATAGTAGTTTCAAAACCTGAATCCTTGGTGTTGATACCAAGTACACCAAGGCTATTATCAAATTAATCATTCTGTTTTTCTTGTAGAAGATGTGGATAATCACCTAGTCAGTGATAATTCCAAAGTACTAGTACTTTCCTTTGATATCACCCCAGTAACAGAGCTCAAAGTGTTCACTGCACTAGATCTAGAATTTCCAGCTGCACCACCATTATTCTGACCATTATTCTGAGAACCCTGAGGTTGATTATCAGAATGATGGCCATTGTTGCTATTTGGGCCTGAAGCTGGATTGTTTGCTGGTGGCTTTGGATTTCCATGCTGTGAGGGATCTCCAGAGCTTCCACCATGATTATTCCCACCTGGGCCTGAATTAGGTGGTGATGGTGGTGGATGTTGATTTCCATTACCAGGGTCTGGACCTCCAGGATTTCCTTGGTTGCCACTACCTTGTCCATGGTGGCCATGATCACCCCCACCTTGATGACCAGAAGAAGGTTGAGTCTGACCTGGTAAGCTTGTTGGTAAGATTATTGGCAGAGTGGGATTTAGGAGTGGGGGAATCTGAAGACTGAGGTTTACTCCTCCACCTTGATCAGAGCCTGAACTCCCAGAATGTCCACTATGCCCACTATGCCCGGAATGTCCACCCTGATTGGTCCCACCTGTATTACCAGGAGGAGGCTTATTTTGAGCTGGTGCATTTGGTGGTGATAAAACTGGTGGTAAAGTGGTAATGGTGGGTAGAGGGACAAAGGGGAGGTCAACACTGATACCAAGTAGTCCACCACCATCCTTGCCATGATCTCCTTTGTGGCTACCTGAAGAATCACTACCAGAATCATTTCCAGCCTGAGGATTGGAGTCAGAACCACCTTTGGTGCTAGTGGGCTTATCCTTGATGTGAGGGACTTGGAGTGTAGGAAGGGGAAGATGAGCACTGAGATCCAAACCTCCACCCTTTTGACCAATTGGAAGAGGAAGATGAATACCAGCATCTATACCCCCACTGTCTTGATGTTTATCCTTTTGGGGATCAGGAGAACCACCTTGTCTAGCTCCACCATTTGGTGCACCTTCAGGATGATCTAAAGGAAGATTAGGGAGAGGTAGGTTAGAAAGTATTCCTCCACCCTTTCCATGGTTTTGGTCACCAGAGCCTTAGTATTGGATTTACCATCAGTTTCAGTTTAATTGAAGGATAATTATTACTGACCAGGAGAATCTCCACTCTGACCTTGGTCTGCTTTAGATTTCTCCGAACCCTGTCCTGGTCCACCCTGATTACCAGGATTGCTCTTGGTATCTCCTCCAAAAGTTGGAGAGGGAAGATGAGGGAGGGATAAGCTAGGGAGAGGAAGGAGTCCACCACCACTTGAGTTTTGTTGACCACCTGTATTTTCATTTCCTTTGCCCTTCACATCCTTATCATCAGGGCCACTGTGGGCATCAGGATTTCCATTATTTGGCCCAGCTGAGTTACCATTAACATCCTTTGGATTGCTGGAAGTGCTCTGTGATCCAGGTGACTGCTGATCATTGTTGCCAGTCCCAATGCCAATCCCAACCTTATCATTCCCAAGTCCAAGTCCAACAGATATTCCAAGCCCATTGCCTGACTTCTGTCCATCATTAGAACCTGATTGAGGTTTGTTGTTTGATGGATCTGAGTTGGAGTGATCTTCAGAATCATTTTTTGGTGAAGCATTGTTCTGATCCTGAGGTGATGGGCTAGCTGATTGGTCATTATGTGACTGATTTTGGCCACCCTAATAAATATGAGAATAATATTTTTTACTAAATAAAAGAAACTTACAGCTGCAGGCTGAGCATTATTTGACTGGTTTCCTGGCTGGCTAGACGAATCATTGCCCTTCACACTGGCTGGAGAACCAGAATTCTTGTTGTCGGCATTGCCAGATTTGTTAGAGTCTTGAGTGCTAGAGTCCTGTTTGGATTATTATAGAATTTAACTATAAATTTTGATCGAAAATACATACTGGTTTATCGGGTAATTGCGATGAATTCTTCCCACTGTCGTCGTTCTTTTGATCATTACCATCGTCTTGAACAGGGTTCTTGTCAGGTTGAGCCGCCTGGTTCGTGTTTGGAGACTTTGTGGAATTAGTTCAAGCATGCTTAATTGATATAAATGACATACTTGTTGTGATTTTGGGGCTGAATCACTTCCTCCCTTTTTGTCATTTGAGCCATTTGCGGGAGCCTAAATATTTACTGAATTATTACGAATTTCGCAAAAGATGGATAAAAAGGTAGTACAGTCGTGGATGGACTCGAAGACTTGGAAGGATCTCCATGGTCATTACCAGCAGAAGAATTTCCCGAAGGATCATCATTTTGATTCTGCGACTCCTTTACTAATAGGTTACAAAATCAAAGAGATTTACCTACCTGATGACTGGACGAAGCATCACTACTTGAAGAAGCGCCGTTTTGATTGTGGGCAGGAGCAGCTGGGCCCTATAGAAATATTTTAGTATTATGTTTCAGATACGGAGGCACATCATACTGCATTGTCGGCGCCACGGCGGGCGGGAGGAGGTATCTTGGTCATTTCGAGAGATGGGGGGGTATTATCGAGCATACATAAATCTTGCGCCAGGAACATAAGCCAGAATCATAAATACTCTGTACATGAGCTCATACCGGTATTCGTTTCTAGAATGACATGCGGTGGAGGTTGAAGGGGAACTGATGTATCATCTCTAGCGTGATGGATCAAGACATCAGAGGCTGGGCCGGTACCACTTTCAAGTTGCGTAGTGGCCGCATGTGAATCGGTTGCCTTCTGCATCACCCTGGTGGTATAGCTGTCTCCTAGGCTACTTTGTCTTTGAAAGAAGGTCGCTGGACCAGGACCGCCTCAGTTGAACCACCCTTTGAATATTTATAGTACTCACCGACACTTGAAGAGTCTCCAGGACGAATAAATAAACGAATGAATGAATGGAATAGGAGAAGAAAGGAAGTGAAAAGGACGAGAAATGAAAGAAAGAAATTGACCCGTGGACAGACGCGAGGTATGCGTCTACTTATCTCAATCGACGCTCCATGAATCAAAACTTCGAGGAAAACAAAATACTATAAGGCTGTGTAGATCAAGAACCCGGCTTCCTTCTTAGGCTGCGGCAGGAGATGTCTATAAATATATGTATGTCATTAGGAGCCTCCAGTACCCTTTACAAAAACCATAAGTTGTGTGTGCGTCTGAAAGAACATACGCTTTGCAGTTCCAGCGACTCACTGCCGCGTAAAGTGTCCATGTCTAACAAAGATATTTGCTGCATACGTATCGATCTGTCATAGTCCCTGACTGTTCAAAACGACAGATGATTCCCCTTGTTCGCATCCGTCACTTGCCCCGCAGTGAGATTCGAAATATCAGCGCAGGTTGATGCTTTGATTTGAGATAACAAGCTGTATAAAGAAAGTTTTCACAGTATAACAGTTCTGGGGAGACGCGAACTAAATTGCCTTTTGTGGTGCTACTTCCATGCCGATCTCAAGGAAGCTTCGTAAATTGATGTTACAAACTAAAGTGCCTTTTCCGCGTGCTCAGTGCGCTGTGCGTGATGAGGCCGGAGTTGAGGTCATAAACACGGACTTGTATTATCTATGATCTACTATGAGAACATCTAAAATACTCACTGACATTAGTAATTGGTATTTTACTCCATATCAAGCGTCAGAATTTGATCCAGAATGTCCACATGCATTCTCCGGCTCTCAACTCATCTGTTACCTCAGGGTTTCCAGAATTAAGAATACTGAATTTAATATGTAAGTAAAAGGAATAAAGTTCAGGGTTGGGAACACGCACGACAATTCTAACATCTCCGCCACCAG